GAATTAGCTTTTAGTTTTACTGATCTTTGCTATTGTTTCCTTCATTTCTTTTTCATTTATTTCTGATCTGATCTTTATGATTTCTTTCATTCTGCTAACTTCAGCGTTTTTTTGTTCTTCTTTCTCTAATTGCTTTAGGTGTAAGGTTAGGTTGTTTATTTGAGGTGTTTCTTGTGTCTTGAGGTAGGATTGTGTTGCTATAAACTTCCCTCTTAGAACTGCTTTTGCTTCATCCCATATGTTTTGGGCCATCCTGTTTTCATTGTTACTTGTTTCTAGGTATTTTTTGATTTCCTCTTTGATATCTTCAGTGATCTCTTCGTTATTTAGTAGTGTATTGTTTAGCCTCCATGTGTTTCTATATTTTACAGGGGTTTTTTTCCTGCAATTGATATCTAGTCTCATAGTGTTGTGGTCAGAAAAGATATTTGATAGGATTTCAATTTTCTTAAATTTACCAAGACTTGTTTTATGACCCAGGATATGATCTATCCTGGAGAATGTTCCATGAGAGCCCTAGTAGAAAGTGTATTCTGTTGTTTTTGGATGGAATGTCCTATAAATATCAATTAAGTCCATTTTGTTAAATGTGTCATTTAAAGCTTGTGTTTTCTTATTTATTTTCATTTTGGCTATTCTGCCCATTGGTGAAAGTGGGTTGTTAAAATCCCCTACTATTATTGTGTTTGTATCGAATTCCCCTTTTATGGCTGTTAGCATTAGCCTTATGTATTGAGGTGCTCCTAAGTTGGGTGCATAAATATTTACAATTGTTATATCTTCTTCTTGGAAGAACTCCTTATTGTCTAAGCAGGATCCTAAAAGTCAATGGCATCTGCTAGAGATTACATCCCAAGAGGAAGGAAAGAGCCAGCCCCACAGAGAGTGTTTGAAGAGGCACCAATGGAAGGAATAGAGTTTTTTTCTGACTTTATCCTATGAGTCCTGCTTATTCAACAAGAATCACACAGAGACACAGAAAAAGACAGGAAAAAAAAACGACTTCACCTAAAAAGCAGAGAACGGGAATGCAAGTGAGGTTAAAACTTCTGACACATAGAATTCCCTGGCCTCATAAAATATACAGAACTACAGGACCTGCAGTTTCACAAGGGGAAACCACTGAATGGTTCACTGACTTTTTGGGCCTTAGTGAATGCTTAAAGTACTTTCTTTTTTCAATAACATTTATATCAACTCTCCTTACTCAAAAATGAAATCATCCATTAACAGCTAGTATTGAAATATCTAATCTTCCTGGATTAGACCACCAGGAACTTTGGCTGGAAGGCACGCAAAAATGATATGGAGAAGTGGGATTTCAGGGCCAAGATCAGGAGGTAAGAGAGATAGTTCGAAGACAGAGGCAGAGAGAGATCCTACAAGTCAAGAGAAGACAAAGCCAGGAAAGCAATGAAAAATAATAACTCATATGTATAGTGAACATTTATTGGGGGCTGTTCAAACATAGAATCTCATTCAGTCTTCACAACAACCTACAAGCACAGTGAGACAGGAGGATGGATGGAAGTGTAGGCTTTGCACTTAGAAACATCCCTGGCATCTTATAAGCACTCAATATAAATTACATATTATCTTAAAATGGGTGCTATTATTATCACATTTACTGTTGAAGGAATTGAAACTTAGAAAGTTTAAGTCAGGTACTAGGGGTCATTTAGTAAGTAAAGGATAAAGGCAGGACTTGAACCCGGGGATCTGACTCCAGAGTCCTCTCTCTCAACCTGGGGGCTGTGACACCCACTCCTCTCCCCTTCCAGTCTCTATTCTTCTGAGACCCAGCCACTCAAGCAGCCTGTTCTGTGTTTCTTCTCAGTCGTGCCTTGCTGCCAGCTAGCTGCCAACCAAATCCTAAGCCAAACATAACTGGATAGCTGTTACTAAATGTAACCCTTTAAAGAAGGGTTTTAAAGACGCTGTCCTGTTGACAGTCCAATGAGTGGTAGACTTTCACTTAGTGTGAATTTCTTAAGCAAGAAATAGGAGAGGGGAGAAAGGAGAGAGAGAAAGATGAAAACAGCCAGACAACAGTCAGTAGAAATCACTACATCCTTTGACATCACTGTCACAAATGACTACCTTCTCCGTAACCAGATTGCTAACTTCGGTCCAGAGCAGAACAGCAGGTGGATCTGGGACTCCTGAAATGAGTGTAAGAACTGCTTTTCAACAGCTTTGAAGAGATAGTGCTCTTGAATAAAATGACGGAAGGAAGAAAATGAGGGAATTGGGCTGCACTAAGACAATGGATCTAACACCAATTATCCCAGGGACAGGGGGGTCAGTTCTGGTTACTGTCACCTTTCATTTAGGTTCATTTGGATTTTATGACATTCTTTATCCACTGTGAATACCAAATAAACCCTGCATTGGGATACCCCATCCTCCCCATTACCTTTTCTCTTCTCTCCCCCAGTCCTCTCTCTCTGGACCAGCTCACTCTCATCCACTCATAAACATGTGTTGGGCTGAAGTGAACTCAGGATCTCAGGTCTGCCCAGCAGCACAAGGATCCATCTTTCTAATAACCATTCAAGATGCTTCACTGAAAACACAAAATTCTCAGACTCAAACTCCTCTTCTTCTAACACAAACCTGTTCTGTTTCCTCAGTGCCCAATAACAATAGCACCTAGGAGTCCTCTGAGTTCTTAATTTTCTTCTTAACTTTCCACTAACCAGATACCATAAATTTGCTTCTCTGATGATGTTTCTCTCATTGGTACCCTCTTTCTCCCACCGCCACTGCCTTCTTCAGACTTGGATATTTTTATAATTTCTTTGAACAGCTTAGTTCAACTTACACTCCATCACTCCATCCTTCAAACCATCCTGCACTTTTTTTTTAACATCTTTATTGGAGTATAATTGCTTTACAATGGTGTGTTAATTTCTGCTTTATAACAAAGTGAATCAGTTATACATATACATATGTTCCCATATCTCTTCCCTCTTGCATCTCCCTCCCTCCCACCCTCCCTATCCCACCACTCTAGGTGGTCACAAACCACCGAGCTGATCTCCCTGTGCTATGCAGCTGCTTCCCACTAGCTATCTATTTTACATTTGGTAGTGTATATATGTCCATGTCACTCTCTTACTTTGTCACAGCTCTTACAACACCTTAGACATGATCATATCACAATTTTAACCAAAAGTCACTCATGATTCAGCAGTGAATGACTGCCAAGATGAATGTCTTGGACCAGAGTTCAAGGCACCATGTGTCTCTGAGGCCCAATTGACTTTCCACTCCTATTACCACCTCAGACACACCCCTATTGCAACCACAAAGACCCACTGGCCAGGCCTTTGAAAAAACAAGGAAGGAACTTTCACAGAGGCAGACCTTTCTACTCTAAGGCAAAATCTGGGGTTAGCCCAACAGGTCAGGACTGGTCAGGAGCATCAAACTCAATTTCTTAGGAATAAGCAGCATCTACCTTAGATATCAAGGGTTGGCCACACCCTGATTGAAAAAAACAGTCACAGAATCCAACAAACAGTGAATTTTAGGCAGAGTCGTTGAGAAAAAGAGCTAAAATAATCTTTTGATTTGAGCCAGGGAGTGTGGAGTGGTAAAAAGAGGTTTCAGAATCTCATGTTAAAAACATAGTGGGGCGACTTCCCTGGTGGCACAGTGGTTAAGAATCCACCTGCCAACGCAGGGAACACGGGTTCGAGACCTGGTCCAGGAAGATCCCACATGCCACAGAGCAAATAAGCCTGTGTGCCACAACAGTAGCTGCGGAACCTGTGTGCCTAGAGCTCATGCCCTGCAACAAGAGAAGCCACTGCAATGAGAAACCCGCACACTGCTACAAACAGTAGCCCCCGCTCACTGAAACTAGAGAAAACCTGCACATAGCAACGAAGGCCCAACACAGCCAAAAATTAATTAACTAATTCATTAATTGATTAATTTTAAAAAACATAGTGGGGACAGGAGCGTCAAAATGGCTGTGATCAATCAGGGGAGCTCTCCTAGAAAGATGAAGAGCAGGCAAGTTCAAAGGAGTTAAAATTTGGGAGACTAGGGGAGGAAAGAGAGATCAGGTGTAAACAGAGCTTTTCTGCTCCTAGCAACAATGAGCCTCCCTATCCTTAGAGTTTAGTTCCCTTCATGGTAGCCTGATTTTGCCAGCATGAATTTTGAGGGACCTGGGAGAGGACGGGACAGCAAAGGGGGTATTAATCATAGCCTATTCTTCTGTTCAAGGGCTTGAGTTGAGCTGGAAGCTCTGGAGTCACACAACAATTGCGACTTGATGATGCAGTGATGAGGTCACAAGTGGGGCTCCCCCTTCCCCCCACTCTGTCTTCCTCAGAGCTGGGCAGAAGAACCAGAGGGGAAAATCCACCTTCCCGGGCACAGCCATAACATCCACCTCACTCAACTACTTGTCAAGTTCAATACCAACACAAAGGGGTGAGTTGCATGTGGACAACTGGAAATGCCCCCTCCTTTACCTCCCCTTTCTGGGGGATGACCCACAGCACCCCAGGCATTGAGCAGGGTTGAAATGATGGCTATATTTGGTGAAAGTTTCCTCTCATTTTCAGTAGCAGGATCTAGCTACACCTCATTTGAAAGAGTAATTCTTAACCATTTTGGAGTTCAATGTAATGATCTGTCTCTCCAGAGAGCCATACTGACTTTAAAACAAAATTAGATTTTTAAAATTTTATTTTTATATTGTTAAAGGAAATCAAAGATGTGCCAATTAGATCCAACTTGCAAGTATTGTCAGGGACTAAAAAGTCCTGTCCATATCCAGAAGTCAAACAGTCTATAGAGGAAGACCTAGCTCAGGGCAAAACTCAACAGAGGGGAAAAGGATTTACTCCCTAAAATCATAGTTTGTGGCTCCAACATTCATATTTTCAGAGAAACTAGAATTTCCCAGTTTATCTCCTCTTCTCTTAACTTCTTTCCTTACCCTAATCACCAGGTGGAGGAGTTCCTAGAGTGGTCCATGGGAGCCCAGCCACGGTAGGAATTCAACTCTTTTCCATGCTCAGTCCTCAAGTGACAAAAGCAGTTCTCAAGGTTTTGAGGGCTTAGGCAAGACATAGAATTGGAAGAAGTGTCATAGGCCCCCAAGCCCACTAACATATCCTCCCATTCCATCTCCAGAGGGATAGGGAGGTGCCCTTACAGGAGTTCTTGAAAACTGTTGTCGTGCCATGGATGCATTTAGGAGTCCGATCAAGCTTAGGCACTCTTCAGAATAATGTTTTAAAATGAATGAAATAAAATACATGGGGTTACAGAATATACCAATTATATTGATAAATATATGGTTAAATATGGTTGGGTTGGGGGGCAGTCCAAGGACCCTAAGGTTAAGAACTCCTGCTAGGGGCTATGGAATGGAGACAAGAATAAGTGAAAAGAACGCATAGCAACGGTGGAGAGATCAAGAAATGTTGTCACCAATGCACTGCAAGGACAAGAGGACAGGCCTTAGATGAGAATTTATTCTAGAGCCTGAACACATCCCAGGAAAGGCTTTCTTAAGAACAAGAATGGGCAGGGCAGGAGGTGTGTGTGGGAAGGCTGTACTGGTCCTCTCCCGCCTTGCAATGTGGTCTCTCACACATAACCTGTCACGTATTTCTTTGCAGGTCTCAGAAAATCAAGAAGGAATGTCGAGTGATGATAAAAACAAACCTAGTGAACCCAAGAATGAGCCCAAGCAATGTGATCCCAGGTGTGAACAAAGGTGTGAGACTAAATGCCAGCCCAGCTGTTTAAAGAAGCTGCTGCAACGGTGCTCTGAAAAGTGCCCACAGGAAAAGTGCCCAGCACCACCAAAGTGTCCCATGTCCCCCATGCCCCCCACTGTGTCCTCCACCATGCCCCTGCCCAGCTCCCTGTCCTCCCAAGCCATGTCCCAAGCTCTGTCCTCCTAAATGCCCACAGCCCTGCCCACCCCCAGAGTGAGGCACCAAGGGCACTACCCAGCCCACTACATCCACCATCTCCACCATCTCCACCATATTCACCATTATGGGGCTGAGAGCTGAAGCCATGAACTTACAAGTAAATGTGTTCCTCTGCTGTGCAAGACTTTCTTCTCCTGGTTTCTTGGTAGTTTTTGGTTTGTTTCTTGTTTTCCAGCATTATATCACCAAGAAGCAACGCCCTGAGTGTGAGGCTAGGACCCTGGCCCTCCACACTCAACAACCTTGGAAGATGGCCAGGTCTCTAACCCCACCTGCTGCATAGAGGGACGTGGCATCTTCTGAGAGGTGCACCCAGGGAATGCACTCCTGCTAGGGCACAGCCTGAGAGAGCAATAAACATGGCTATTGAAGTGGCTAACCCCGGGAACCCAATGAGCACAAGGGAGGAAGAGTGTGTGAGGGGAAACAGGAATGACGCTGGGGAAAGTTCCACAAAGACTCAGGGAAAGAATTCTACCCTTGGCTATTAGTCCCATTGCATAATGCTTGGGCAGAACACTCTGAAAATAGGCTTCATGGGTTTAAACTCTAGCTCTGCTCCCCAAAATTTTGTGACCTTAAGCCAGTTGGTTACCTTCTCTGAGCCCTAGTTTCCTTCTCTCTGTAAAAGGAATGAGGATACTAATAGTATTGGTGTTACCTGGTGGTTGTGTGGCTTAAGGAGTTAACAAATGCCAAGTGCCTGGTTTGCTGGGACACAGTGAGGGGAGCACGCTGTACCTGCCCATGTGTGACACAACACACCTGAACTTGACTGCCTTGTGCTTCACTTCCTCATCAGGCTGTAAATCTCCTGAGTGCAATAATCAGGTTCTAACTCATACCAGTAAGCACAGCTAAGAATTCTTCTAAAAAATAAGAAATAAAGAGGAGTTTGTGGATTACACCAATGTCAGTTGGCTGACTTTGATCCTGGAGTATAGTTATGCAGCATGTCACCATGTCACCCTTGAGAGAATTCCAGTGAAGGGGACATGGGATCTCTATTTTTGCAACTTTCTGTGAATCTATATACAATTTCCAAAGAAATAGTTAAGTACAAAAAATAGAAAAAGATAAATCTGGGAGGACCTCAACTAGGAATGAACCAGAAAAGTTTTCACAGCTGATATGTTAGTGTACAAGTAGCTACAGGGAGTACACATCAAAGTGGATTAATTCACAAGTTATCAGTTCATATTGCTGGGAAGGATATTAGGATGAGCAGGGGGCATGTAGAATTGAAAAAGAACTATAAGAACGAGGACTTCAGGGTCTGGGAGCATGGATTCACTGCCACTGTTTCAATCTCTCTCATCCCCACCAGTCTCCACTCCTCTTCAGGATGGGTATCCTCACCTCTTAGACCTCTCCATGTGGTAAGGTCCTTGGCCAAGTGGACCCACATTGTTGATGGCTTGGGTATGAGGTATTCCTGTTATTTCAGGAAAGAAACCTGATTGGTTCTTTCCAAAAACGCAGGTTATCATCACAGCTCACAACATCCAAGCAGAAGTAGGTTTAGTATTCTTTGCTGTCACAAATGTAATGAAAGAGGCCAGGTCATGTTATAAGTGGGAGTGATTCTACCAACCTGCTTCCTTACCTGCTGTTCTGTGATTTAGAACTTGAAACATCCAGAACTGCATCCTGTTCACTCATTCGCAGGTAATATTTTATGTGCTTCCTTAAGATTGGATTGTGAAAGAGACTGAAAAGGATCATAAATCTTCATGGCTGAGTTTCTTTTAATTGAAATATAATTTACTTATTCTGAAATGGACAGATCTTAAACCTCAATCAGGATACGAAAAATAACAATCACTTCAGAAGGTGCCCTTGTGCCTTGGCCAATGAATCCATACCAAAAAGCTGTGTGGCTGACAGAGTCTTGGTGCTCTGGCTGGGTGTCACGCCTGAGCCTCTGAGGTGGGAGAGCCGACTTCAGGACGTTGGTCCACCAGAGACCCCCCCGGCCCCTCATAATATCAATCGGCGAGAGCTCTCCCAGATATCTCCATCTCAACACTAAGACCCACCTCCACACAACAACCAGCAAGCTCCAGTGATGGACACGCCAGGCAAAACAACTAGCAAGACAGGAACACAGCCCCACCCATTAGCAGAGAGGCTTCCTAAAATAATAATAAGTTCACAGACATCACAAAACACACCACCAGACGTGGCACTGCCCACCAGAAAGACAGCAGCCTCATCCACCTGAACAGAGGCACCAGTCCCCTCCACCAGGAAGACTACACAACCCACTGAACCAACCTTAGCCACTGTGGGAAAACACGAAAAACAATAGGAACGATGAACCTGAAGCCTGCAAAAAGGAGACCCGAAACACAGTAAGTTATGCAAAATGAGAATACAGAGAAACACACAGCACATGAAGGAGCAAGGTCAAACCCACCAGAACAAACAAATGAAGAGGAAATGGGCAGTCTACCTGAAAAAGAATTCAGAGTAATAATAGCAAAGATGATCCAAAATCTTGGAAACAGAATAGAGAAAATACAAGAAATGTTTAACAAGGATCTAGAAGAACTAAAGAGCAAAAAAACAAAGAAGAACAACACAATAAATGAAATTAAAAATTCTCAGGAAGGAATCAATAGCAGAATACTGAGGCAGAAGAGTGGATAACTAACCTGGAAAATATAATAGTGGAAATAACTACCACAGAGCAGAATAAAGAAAAAAGAATGGAGGACATTCTTAGAGACCTCTGGGACAACATTAAACACACCAATATTCGAATTATAGGGGTCCCAGAAGAAGAAGAGAAAAAGAAAGGGTCTGAAAAATATTAAACAGATTATAGTTGAAAACTTCCCTAATATGGAAAAGGAAATTGTCAATCAAGTCCAAGAAGTGCAGAGAGTCACATACCGCATAACTCCAAGGAGAAACACACCAAGACACATATTTACCAAACTATTAAAAATTAAATACAAAGAAAAAATATTAAAAGCAGCAAGGAAAACGCAACAAATAACAAACAAGGGAATCCCCATAAGATTAACAGCTGATCTTTCAGCAGAAATTCTGCAAGCCAGAAGGGAGGGGCAGGACATATTTAAAGTGATGAAAGAGAAAAACCTACAACCAAGATTACTCTACCCAGCAAAGATCTCATTCCGATTCAACAGAGAAATTAAAAGCTTTACAGACAAGCAAAGCTAAGAGAATTCATGACCACCAAACCAGGTTTACAACAAACAATAAAGAAACTTCTCTAGGCAGGCAAAACAAGAGAAAGAAAAGACCTACAATGACAAAACAATTAAGAAAATGGTAATAGGAATATACATATCGATAATTACCTTAAATGTAAATGGATTAAATGCTCCAACCAGTGCAGAGAGAGGACAGCGGTTGGGGGTGGGAACACAGCCTGAAGGGGTTAGTGCACCACGGCTAGCCGGGAGGGAGTCCGGGAAAAGGTCTGGAGCTGCCGAAGAGACAAGAGACTTTTTCTTCCCTCTTTGTTTCCTGGTGTGCGAGGAGAGGGGATTAAGAGCGCTGCTTAAAGGAGCTCCAGAGACGGGCGCAAGCCACGGCTAAAAGAGCGGACCCCAAAGACGGGCAGGAGATGCTAAGGCTGCTGCTGCCACCACCAAGAAAACTGTGTGCGCGCACAGGTGACTATCTACACCTCCCTTCCGGGGAGTTTGTGCAGCCCGCCACTGCCACGTTCCCGGGATCCAGGGACAACTTCCCCGGGAGAACGCACAGCAAGCCTCAGGCTGGTGCAACATCACTCCGGCCTCTGCCGCCGCAGGCTCGCCCTGCACGCTGTGCCCCTCCCTTCCCCCGGCCTGAGTGAGCCAGAGCCCCCGAATCAGCGGCTCCTTTAACCTCGTCCTGTCTGAGCGAAAAACAGACGCCTTCCGTTGACCTACACGCAGAGGCGGGGCCAAATCCAAAGTTAAGCCCGTGGGACCTGTGAGAACAAAGAAGAGAAAGGGAAATCTCTCCCAGCAGCCTCAGAAGCAGCGGATTAAAGCTCCACAATCAACTTGATATACCCTGCATCTGTGGAATACATGAATAGACAACGAATCATCCCAAATTGAGGAGGTGGACTTTGAGAGCAAGATTTATGATTTTTTCCCCTTTTCCTCTTTCTGTGAGTGTGTATGTGTATGCTTCTGTATGAGATTTTGTCTGTATAGCTTTGCTTCCACCATTTGTCCTAAGGTTCTATCCGTCCGTTTTCTTGTTTTGTTTTGTTTTGTTAATTTTTTTCTTAATAATTATTTTTTAATTTAATAACTTTATTATATTTTACTTTATTTATGGTACTTTATCTTCTTTCTTTCTTTCTTTTTTCCTTCCTTCCCTCCTTCCTTCCTTCTTTCCTCCCACCATCCTTCCTTCCCTCCCTCCTTTCTTTCTTTCTTTCCTTCTTTCCTTCTTTTCTTCTGTCTCTCTTTCTTTCTTTCTTCCTTCCTTCTGTCCTTCCTCCCGTCCTTTCCTTCTTTCCTACTTTCTTTCTTTCTTCCAACTTCTACTAATTCTTTCTCTCTACTTTTTCTCCCTTTTATTCTGAGCCGCGTGGATGAAAGGCTCTAGGTGCTCCAGCCAGGAGTCAGTGCTGTGCCTCTGAGGTGGGAGAGCCAACTTCAGGACACTGGTCAACAAGAGACCTCCCAGCTCCATATAATATCAAATGGTGAAAATCTCCCAGAGATCTCCATCTCAATGCCAGCACCCAGCTTCACACAATGACCAGCAAGATACAGTGCTGGACACCCTATGCCAAACAACTAGCAAGACAGGAACACAACTCCACCCATTAGCAGAGAGGTTGCCTAAAATCAAAATAAGTCCACAGACACCCCAAAACACACCACCAGACGTGGACCTGCCCACCAGAGAGACAAGTTCCAGCCTCATCCACTAGAACACAGGCACTAATCCCCTCCACAAGGAAGCCTACACAACCCACTGAACCAACCCTAGCCAGTGGGGACAGACACCAAAAAC